AAAAAAGAAAAGAAACGATTCAAGAATTCTTTTACGCAATAACATCAGTTCAGTTTGTTGTAGCCATGATAGCTTATAAAAACATAGTCATTTATATAAAATGAAAGTTATTAAACATAAATATAATATGCTTTCACATTAAAAATATTACAATTTATTGACAAAGATTGTTTGTCATGTTTTTTCCATGTTTTAGTACAGGCCTACGTACTGTTACTATCAGCTCACTTAAGGGGTCTTATTACGAATTTTTGAAATCGACTGTTTTCGGTTCAAAGAGTCGGTTCCACTGCGAATCGAATCGTTTTTGTGAGCCGGTGTTCTGACGATTTGTGCTACCCGCTTATGCCGAGTTCACACTGTATAACACACTAGTATAACACAGACTTAACAGGTGCAACAGAGTGGTCCTTTAAAGACACAATTGTGTGACGTGATAGTATGTCCCAAAGCTTGCCTACTCTTCTACTACACACTCAAAAGTGTGTACTTTTTCTTCACCAAAAGAGTACATACTTTAAGGGCGTAGTATAAGTAGGCACATTGAGACGCAGCATAACAGTTTTTGACAGTAATGGTCGTAGATCGTATTTTAAAGAACCGTTTTAAAAGCCGATTCTTTTTCGTTCAAATGAATTGTGTTATGTTCTGTAATTGCTGTTAATAAATATGTCAGAAAGAAATATGCTAAAGTTTCAGCCTGGCAGCCTTTTACAAAAAATAACCATGGTTTTATTACAGTAACCACAGTATTTGTACTGAAACTGCAGTAACCACAAATTTACCATGGTAATAATAATAATAATATCCTGCAGAGTTTAGCTCCAACTTGCCTCAAAACACCTGACTGGAAGTTTCTATGCCTAGTAAGAGCTTGATTAGCTGGTTCAGGTGTGTTTAATTAGGGTTGGAGCTAAACTCTGCAGGACACCGGCCCTCCAGGACCGAGTTTGGACAGCCCTGTTTTAGTGCATCAGTTTTAGCATATCACATGGCTAACTAGCTATGATTCCTCCTTTTAAGTGAGTTTCTTTAGTTTACAATAACACATAGTCGGGCACCTTTGTAATAAATCACGCTGATTTGCCACATAAATAGCAAACACATCCTAAATGTACACAAAGAAATCCTTACCATCAGTGATGCTACCCATTCTCCAATAAGCTAACTGAACTATTTGAAAAAACTTTATTGACATGCGCGCACGGACACATAAGTGCATCTGAGCCCCGCCTCTGTTGCGAAGCAAATGAGCCGACCCCACAGCACGAATCACAGCAGTTTCCTAAATTGCAAGGTTTTGTTTCATCATTATTCAAGTAATTTAGAAGTTGTGGGTGAATTACTCTTTCAAACGTTAAAACTACTCGTGTGACTTCCAGAAATGCTGTATAGGTAGGCAGTTCATTAGTTTTTGACAGTGGTGAGAAGTCCGACTCATTTTCGAGAATCAGTTCATTAGAACAATTCGTTTCAAAGAACCGTTTAAAAAAAAAAAAGAAAAGAAACGATTCAAGAATTCTTTTACGCAATAACATCAGTTCAGTTTGTTGTAGCCATGATAGCTTATAAAAACATAGTCATTTATATAAAATGAAAGTTATTAAACATAAATATAATATGCTTTCACATTAAAAATATTACAATTTATTGACAAAGATTGTTTGTCATGTTTTTTCCATGTTTTAGTACAGGCCTACGTACTGTTACTATCAGCTCACTTAAGGGGTCTTATTACGAATTTTTGAAATCGACTGTTTTCGGTTCAAAGAGTCGGTTCCACTGCGAATCGAATCGTTTTTGTGAGCCGGTGTTCTGACGATTTGTGCTACCCGCTTATGCCGAGTTCACACTGTATAACACACTAGTATAACACAGACTTAACAGGTGCAACAGAGTGGTCCTTTAAAGACACAATTGTGTGACGTGATAGTATGTCCCAAAGCTTGCCTACTCTTCTACTACACACTCAAAAGTGTGTACTTTTTCTTCACCAAAAGAGTACATACTTTAAGGGCGTAGTATAAGTAGGCACATTGAGACGCAGCATAACAGTTTTTGACAGTAATGGTCGTAGATCGTATTTTAAAGAACCGTTTTAAAAGCCGATTCTTTTTCGTTCAAATGAATTGTGTTATGTTCTGTAATTGCTGTTAATAAATATGTCAGAAAGAAATATGCTAAAGTTTCAGCCTGGCAGCCTTTTACAAAAAATAACCATGGTTTTATTACAGTAACCACAGTATTTGTACTGAAACTGCAGTAACCACAAATTTACCATGGTAATAATAATAATAATAATACATTTTAGTACTTATGTAACACCATGTTTATTTTTCATGAGGTATCCTCAAAGGTGCACCTTTGTAACTTATCTACCCTTAAAGCATGCATACTTGTATGGTACTAATATGCTCACTTTTTGGGGTATAGTTGCAACTTTGAGGTTACAAGAGATATACACGATGTTAATAATATATTAATTGCGCAGTGTGAGATTCATTGGTAACAGACAGAACTTTGATTGCGATGAACAAAGAGTGACAGCTTTTTAGTGGTTATGAGCACTCTTTGCGAGCTTTCTAGGCAATCAATTTAACCTAGAAACCTACACATGCCAGGATCCGCCACTGCCAGATGCAGTTAGAAATGTACTAAAAACAAGCCTATCCGCTCCTCTTCTATCAATGGAGGAACGTCTGTACTTCCTCAACAGACAACGAAACAGCCACTTTTTGGTTGTTAAAA